TGATATATTTTATGATGTGATATGATGCAATAAGGAAATTAGAGGTTGAGATGTTGGGGGGTGTATGACTAAAAGCGTAGATAACATGAGGCAAATAGAGAATATGAGCATTATTGGAATTATTATTATTATTATTATTATTATAGATGTGAAGTTATTTATAATATTAGTGATTAATTAATTAATTAAAAAAAGGAAGGGCAAGATGGGAATATAGGTTCAGGGGTCTAATATGTGTTATTAGAAAATAAGAAGGGAGAACATGAGAAAATAGATTGTAGAAGTGAGAAACAAAAGAGAAAGGAAGAAACTAGGGCTAAAGGGAAGACTCTATTGGAGAAGGGAAGAGAACTCAAAAATATAAGGTAAGAGTGTAGTTCTAACGTTATAAGGAATTGTATGATGATGGGTTATGGTAGAGTTAAATTATATAATTGTATGATCATCTTTCTGTGAATTTGGTATTTATGTGATTTGTGTATGTGGTGATTGATGATGATGAATTTGTGTAAAAACCTTTAATTTTAATGATATATAATGACCCTAATTGATGGTTATGAATTATACATGTTTGATAGAACAAATGTTTCTGTTTCATGATGGGAATCGGTGAATTTGAGTGTTTTGAGAAGAGAAATTGCAACCTGTATAATTGTAGAATTTTTGAAAAAAATAGCAGCGGTAACCAGTTACCACTGGGGAGAGTAACCAGCTACCACGTGAAAATTTAAAGAAAAGAGACTATTGTGTTACGTAGTAACCGGTTATCATAATGTAGTAATTGGTTACCGCTGACAGATTTTTGAAAAATAGAGCTACTGCCTTGTGCAGTAACCGATTACTGTAATGCAGTAACCGACTACTGCTGAAGGATTTTTCGTAGTTCACTATTGTTTCATTCAGTAACCAATTATTGTAATGTAGTAACCGGTTACCACTATGTTAGACAAAATTTTGAAAAGTTAAGAACTCCATAACTTTTTACTCGGGTGTTCGTTTGACGCGTTGTTCGAACCTATTACAAGCTAAAAATATTTTCTACTCTATAAAAATGGTTTGAACACAATATGAAGTTATTTACTGAATTTTATTGTATTATGAAGTTTTGTTGAAATTGCGAAGTTGTGAATATGATGATGAATATGAAGAAATTTCATGACGTAATGATGTTGCAATGATATATGAATAATGATGTGTGATTAGCGAACTGTATTGACTTGGTTGTTGATGTGCGTTATGATGTTGTATTTGTTTTCATAACATGTTAGTGTTGCATGTATGTTCATAAGTGACATTATGATCTTAATGGCAAGTGACAGTCTGGCCTTAACGACAAGTGACAGTGTAGCCTAAATGACAAGGAGGCATTGTTATGGTACCACATGCATATATTTAGGGAAGTTAGTGTCATTGCATTATGACGTTGTTGTTGAAGAGATATGATCTGCTGTTTGTTGGGGGTGATTGTTGAAATGATGTTGTGTATTCGTGTTGATGCATGAAGTGTGAATGAATGATTATGTATGTTGTACTTTACCTGCTCATTATCATATATTCGTTTATATTGTTATTATATTTCACCCCTTCTGTTTGAATGTTGTCTCTTTGTGGGTAACACGCATGTGACGAAGTTTAGAGTTGCTTAAGGTATGGAGTTGCGCCTCGTAATTGCGTAGATCAAGTCGGATCTTACTCTGATACATAACACCGGGGATGAATGTTATTTTGCCTATTTAGTCATTGTTGTCTTTGAAAGATTATGAGAGTAGTATAACTCTTTTTTTTATTTGATGAGATGTTGTTTTGTGGATTGTTGGAGACGCAGACCAATTATATTTTGGATTGTTTTTATTGTATTAAAAAGGTGAAGTTGAATACCATGATGATTATGATGACGATTCATCTGAAAATAATGTTATGTATCCATTGTTAATGTTTGAGCAATTTTTGAGATGATGAAAGGTGACATCCTATTTTGATGTTGATTGGAAAATTTTAGATACTCTGATTTTATTTAGTTATTCGACGGGAGAAAATAGGGCACACAGATTTGATTTGGTTTTAAATTTAGATTTGTTTTAAATCTAGATAAAATTTGATTTAGTTCTAAAATAGATAGATTTGATTTAGTTTCAAAGTAAGTATTTTGGATTTTTATAGTTTTGAGTTTTGATTTAGGGAGCTAGCAAACCTAAATTTATAGATAGAGGGAATTATCCTTATTTTTGTAATCAAGTCAATTAAGTTGTATTCACAGAATTTGTAATTGCAAATGAATAATAAAGTTTATCACAGTTTGTGGACAAAAAGTTATTATGTAAAAAAATCATTGTCTTTTTTTATATTTTATTTCTTTCATATTTTTCATTATTATTGTGTGAGGATATCAATCTTATTCATCAAGATTGATAGAAATTCATCATAAATTTAGATGAATTTACAACAAATAGAACATTAGTAATTATCTGATTCTATCATTGAATTTACATAGTTGATAATATAGAATACCTTTTTAATTAAAAATATTAATTGTTTATTTAATATACTGATATTTTAGCCTTTATCTTATTATCTAAAATGTATGTTTAAAATTTTCAAAAATAAATTAATTTATTATTTTTAATATATGTTAATATTTTACAATTTGAAATAAATTATAAATTAGAATTTTCAACTTTAAAAATTAATTCTGATGTTAAGATAAGAATAAAATACTTGAACTCGTTTGAGATGAATTTTAATTTTTGAATTCTACTTAAATTTGAAATGGAAAACGAATATTCAAACTAAATTTAGATTTAAATATTAAAAAAATTAAACTCTTTTTATCCGGTTCCGTACCCATGCCTAAAAAATAAGAGTTCAAAAGTAATGTATTGTCAATGTAAAATATTTTACACAGTTACATCACAACCTTTGAAAAAAATAATTTATATGTGATTTAAAGAAAAAATCAATTTTTTATAAAAATTAACGGTTATAATTTCACTGATATTATAAAATTGTTTTACGGTGTCTATGTATTTTCATTAAATCCATAAAAAAAACAACAAAAATCTTAAAATTAAAATGAATTTAAATCGTTAATTATTTAGAAGGAATGTATCAATCATGTTTATAAGATAATAAATATTTTATTTGATTTAATATTTAAATGAATATCATGCTATTATTATTTTTGAATTCAATTAAACTATTATCTTAACTAAGGTGTTGATGGGAAGCAAGAAGTAATTGTTATTAATTAGTTGAGATAAATGAGTTTGAGTTGTTTGTCTATATTCAACTTTGATGGTATAATTTCTCTGTATTCAAAATTGTAAATATATATATATATATATATATATATATATATATATATATATATATATATATATATATATATATATATATATATATATATATATATATATATATATATATATATATATATATATATATATATATATATATATATATATATATATATATATATATATATATATATATATATATATATATATATATATATATATATATATATATATTTATAAACTAATATTTAAAAAATAAAATTTGACGTTATAACCTGATTTACAAACCGAAAATAACAAAAAGGATAAGAGATTTTTTTACAATTGTGATTCGATAGTATTGGGTGAAAGCCACTTTGATATGTTCAATTTTTTTTAATTTTCTAAAATCAATTGAATTCAACCGTTTTTATAAATTTTAATTATTATAAATTTTATTATTAATATTAAATATAACATTAATTTTTTGGTTTATTATTTTATGTTTTAATAATATTTATTTATTTAATTTATTTTTTATCTCCCAAAATTCAAAATATTATTAATATTTGTTTTTTATATTATATTATTTTTATCATAAAATATTTTATTTACAATTATTATCAATTATTATTACTTTATCTAACATTTTCTGAATTTGAATAAAAATTTCATGAATGTACATGGTCATTATCACTTTGTCTAAAAAGTAATATTATTTAATTTATAATATATTATTTGACATATTATTTAATTTATAATATATTATTTGACATATATTATTTAATATATATAAGAAATTGTTTAATATAAACTCCATTTTAACATTTTAAATAAATTTATGTGACAAAATAATCCAAACCAAACTTAACAAAAAAATTTTGAGTTGTGTTGGGACGTAGAATTAAGATGGAGATAGAAGAGGGTCCCTTCCTCCAATGAATGAGCTGGATCCACTCTTTCATTTCAGAACTCCCAACTTTCATTTTTTATTTATTTAACGTACAACTTAAACTATTTATCAAATTAACAACCACACACTACTTCCTAAAAAAAAAAAGTACACATGACTCAACAATCATTACTCTAATAAAACATTATAAATTACATCAAAAGCTTCACAAACATACCACATTAATATATCACTAATAATTCAAAATATATTTAATTTTTTTATTTGATGTTATCAATTGAATTAATTTAACGAAATTAATTGAACGTAATATCAAATTTATTTAATAGTATAAATTTTGAATTTATCCGCTCATATTTTTATATAGTTATTTTTATTATTTTTTAGAAATTTTTAATAATTTAGACTTTTATAAAAAAAATACAAATATTATATTAAAGAATCTGGGTGAATCAGACTGATTAGTAAATTTTTTAATTATTATTAATTAATTAATTATTCTAATTTTTGACGAGCATTAAATAATTAATTAAATAGTCAATAAATTAATTCAGCATGAAACAGTGACAAAGCGAAGAGAGACATAACATTGAGGTCGGAGAACAATATTTATTATTTTATGTAAAAAATTTCAAGACACAAAAATTCAGTTTCTCTTTCTTTCTTCTCCGATTCTTGCGTTCTCTTGAGTTCCGAACTTCAGTTACTTTTGTTTCACTTTCACTCCAGCTTCAAATTCAGATTGAAAATTGAAATGAAATTAACTATGTGAACCAACACCAACGTTTGTGTTTGTTGTTTTGGATCTCTCAGCTATGAATCTTACTAACGGTAAAGGATCCATTTCTACGGTTACTACTACGACTGTTTCTATGAAATCCGGCGAAGGTTCCGATCAGTTTCCGGCGGGTCTCCGAGTTCTTGTTGTGGATGATGATCCCACGTGTCTGAAAATCCTCGAGAAGATGCTAAGGTCGTGTTATTATGAAGGTATTGAATTTGAATTACAATTTCTCTAACTGAATTTTCATTTTTTTTCACACTCTGTTGAATTTTGATATGTTACAACGATTCATTAGTTGAAAACCCATAAAAAAAACTTAACTTTATCTTCTATTGAAAAACCCAAAGAATCAATTTTTCTATAGAACTGTTTCTTGATCAATCAAAAATCTGATTTATGGAACAGTGGCACTAATCAAGAATTTTCAAGACTTTTTTTTCTTTTTCTCTTCTTCCAATTTAATTGCTTTGAAATTGTTTTCTCATATTATGAACTGTATCAATAGCTTGTAGCTGGAGAAGAAAGTTTTTTTAATTTCTTTTCCCCTTTTTTGAAACCTGGTTTTGATTTTGAAGTACTGGTTTTCAGATTTGTTTTTGACTCATAACTTGATTGTTATTATTTAATTGATTCAATTGATTTACTTTATTATGAATTTTGAGTAATAATTTTTGTTGAGTTCATTTCAGTTACTCAGTGCAATCGAGCCGAAGCTGCACTTTCGCTACTCAGGGAGAACAAGAATGGATTTGACATTGTTATCAGTGATGTCCATATGCCAGACATGGATGGATTTAAGCTCTTGGAACACATTGGATTGGAAATGGATCTTCCGGTTATTAGTGAGTATTTCAGTTTTATTTTTCGCAACTTAGATCTGTTAGTAGACTGCATTGTTATTGAGATTTGAGACAAAATGTTTTCTGTGATGATTACAGTGATGTCCGCGGATGATGGTAAAAATGTTGTTATGAAGGGTGTGACACACGGTGCTTGTGATTACCTGATTAAACCGGTTCGTATGGAGGCTTTGAAGAACATATGGCAACATGTGGTTCGGAAGAAGAAAAATGACTGGAAAGATTCGGAACAGTCGGGTAGTGCTGATGAAGGAGATCGACATCCAAAGGCGTCTGATGATGCTGATTATTCGTCTTCTGCTAATGAAAGTAATTGGAGAAGCTCGAGAAAGAGAAGGGATGATGAAGAGGATGGCGATGATAGAGATGACTCATCCACACTAAAGAAGCCCCGGGTTGTTTGGTCTGTCGAGCTCCATCAACAGTTTGTGGCTGCTGTCGATCAACTAGGAATTGACAGTATGTATCCTTCACCTGCATTTCTTCAAAGATAAAAAATTATTTTACATCTTTTCAGATCTATCTAAGACTTGGCAATACTTTTGATGGATAATCCCTCGGATTCTACATCAATTTCTGCGAATCAATTTCAAAACTATACTATCCAGTATTTATAATTAATAATTTTTATTTTTCTATACTAGTATTTTGCACTCAATATTTGCTTGAATATCTTTAGCTTCGATTATTGTGGTGTTTTTGAGTCTTACCTGATTCAAATTCAATATATGTATGCAGAGGCTGTTCCTAAAAAAATTCTGGAATTGATGAATGTTCCTGGGCTCACCCGAGAAAATGTTGCTAGCCACCTGCAGGTATCATACTGTTATCCACCATGTACTTCAGAAACGACTCAAGTTAAATTTTATACCCCTATGGTCTTTTTGTGGTAATTTACTCGAATACTATGATTATTTAATGGAGATAATATTTATTTTCATTTTTATTTTGTTGTTACAGAAATATCGATTGTATCTTCGAAGGCTAAGTGGAGTTTCTCAGCACCAGAACAACTCATTTCTCAGCCCGCAAGAGGCGTCATTTGGGACAATTTCTTCAATGAATGGTCTTGATCTGCAAACTCTTGCAGCTGCAGGCCAGCTCCCAGCACAGAGTTTAGCCACTCTTCAAGCTGCAGGACTTGGTAGGTCAGCTGTAAAATCAGGCTTAGCTATGCCTCTCATGGATCAAAGAAACCTTTTCAGTTTCGAAAACCCGAGGTTGAGATTTGGAGAAGGGCAGCAACAACTTTTGAGCAATAATAAAACAAATCTTCTTCACGGAGTTCCAACTAACATGGAGCCTAAGCAGCTTGCCAATTTGCACCAGTCTGCAGCTCAATCCCTTGGCAACTTGAATATGCGAGTCCCTGGTTCGTCAACACAGGGAAATCCCTTATTGATGCAGATGCCACAACAATCCCAACCTAGAGGTCAGATGCTAAGTGAAAATATCAGTCCCCGTATTCCCAGACTACCAAACCTCTTGGGGCAGTCTACTGTATCAAATGGAATTTCCGACGGTCTTTTAGGGAGAAACGGCATAGCTAGTAGCAGCAGAGGGCCTTCATTTAATTCTGTTCAACAGAGCTCTATGTTTTTTAATTCTCCCATGAATCAAAGCACTGAAATGTCTGTTACTAATTTTCCTCTCGGAAGCACTCCAGGTATATCTAGTATCACAACCAAAGGCACATTTCAACCTGAAGTTAATTCGGGTATTAAAGGATCAGCTGGATTTCCAAGTTATGATATTTTTAACGAACTGAACCATCAGAAGCCTCGGGATTGGGGAATGACAAACCCCGGTCTAACATATGATTCCTCGCAGCATGCAAATCCTTTACATGGTAACATCGATGTCTCGCCATCAGTTTTAGTTCATCAGGGTTATTCTTCTACGCCACAAAATGGACATAACAGAGATAACTCTTTGATTGGAAAATCTCCATTTTCTCTTGGAGAAAGCTCGGAACAAGGTCATTTCCAAAATGGCGTTCAAAACTTCAATCCCCTTGTTGAAAATTCAACAAGGGTTATTAAGTCTGAAATAGTTCCAGACGCGAGCTCCCAGACTAGTCTCTTCCCTGATCATTACGGACAGGAGGATCTTATGAGTGTACTTCTGAAACAGGTTGGTCATCCTCCTTTCGTTTGACCCGAAACATTCATAGTTGCATATATTTTTCCATTATAAACAAATCAATATTTTTGTGTTTGGTGCAGCAGGAAGGCATTGTACAAGGCGAGAATGAGTTTGACTTCGACGGATATTCTCTGGACAACATTCCTGTCTAGAAGCGACTCTCAGCCAGTTCTTTCGGATTGCAATTACAAGTGTAAATAGTTGCTGTTACATATGCATATCATTCTGCAATTAGCTATTTTCAAACCGAGTCTAAATTATCTAGACAAAAGAATTCCGTTGATGTCAAATATTCAAATTCTGGGAGTAGTGTACTATATTGGTTTTAGTCTTTTGACGTTCTTTATCAATCAAGATGAATCGACTACAAAACTCGACTGCATAAAATGCACAAGGCATGTGCAATTTTTGACTGCTGCTATTGATAGCAACATTTCTAGCAATGTTCTAATTTTAGGGTGTTCTTGAAGAGGTATGTTTGGGTTAGGGAAGAATTGCAAACTCATAGGAGTACTTCTGACTTCAATAACAAATCATGAAAAAAAAATTCCTTTTGTTCCCCTTTAAATTTTATGTTCTTCAAAGTAAATCACTGTGTTAAGTCTGTAAATATTTTTATTTGGTTGTTCAAGATATTTGTTCTGACTATTCTTTTCCAGATGTTTATGTTTGTGTCGATCAGTAGTTTTGTGCTTTAATGTTTCAGCTGTGTCTACTCTGCTCTTTGATTATGTTATTATGGATTCTTTGTACATGAACATGATTTAGCACTTGTTTGGGATTTTATGTTATAGCTACCTGTCCTATGAAAGATTTTTATAAATGCTGTGATGATGCATATGCTATTTATTTAGATGAAAAAAAATGCTATTTGAACACAATATTTGAGAACAATCTTATTGATGAAAAGGAATCAAACAGTGAGGAATGAAATAGTGTCACTTTCTATAAGACAAAAAGAGAACTAAATAGTGACACTTTAGTTAGCTTTTTGTGGTTAACATGGCTATTTATATAAATTAGACAATTGGTTATGAATTTGGATTTTACTAAACGTATTCATAAATTTCTTGAAAAAGACAAACCTGTATAAATGTTGGGAGTTGTTGCAAGCCATTGAGCCTTAATTTTTTTTATTGTAAACAAAAAACAAACTGAAATTGCAAAGATCTCTCAATTGAAGTGAAATTTGTACTTCGGAATAAAAGGATGCAATAGAGATTTTTAATATAAATTGAGTAAAAGAAAAGTGTTCAGTGAGAATTAAAAACCCATATAAAAATTACTAAAAGACTACGAACAAGAAAGAAACAAATTAATTGTAACATTAACACAAATTTCAATAGACAAAGTAATATATTTCTATCATCTAACATAGTTTTACAATCTTCTGTACCATAATAACGTTTGAAAGAATCATATAAGTTGAATAAGGATTGCAACAGAAAGATTGCAACAGAATCCAAAACTAGACGCATGGATGTTACAGCATGATTCAGTCCACTAAGATTTCTCATTTTGTTTCTGCGATGAGTTCAACCTCTGAATCAAATCCTGTTCAGGACAACATCGAGCCCAGAATCACCAAAATCAAACTTAACAAAACCGCTATTACCACATGAAGACAGCTAACAACAATGGTAGAAGTATCAAATTAGCAAAGGAAAATTCCTTCTTTGAAGCACTACTGGTTGGAAACACAGAAGGAAGAGAACATTCCTCCCCATTGAAGAACACTTTCGTGGGAAACCCATCACCGTGAACGACACTGATTCCAGGAGTAGTTTTCTTTGTGAACGACATTACTGACTGTTGTTTGCCGGGCACCCTGGGATCTCTCCGAGGGTCAGCTCCATCTGTTTCTCCAACAAGATAGTTCAACCCCTCCAAACCTTGCATTATTATTGTATTATTCACGCCGTTTATTTCTATGGCGCTACCGTTGAATGAATACATTTTCTCAAAACCTGCAGTAGCTTTGTCCATTTGCACAGCAGCAAACCAGTCTGCAAAATTAGTTTCACCCCAATTGAAAAGTGTGACCCTTGCACTCCATCCTTTATTGTAATCTGTAAGTAAATGCCAGTTTATGCTCACACCACAGTTATCACTGCAAGGCATTGGATTTGGCCTTGGTAGATGTTTTAGATCCGCCCATGCTTTAGCCTTGGCACTTCGGTTGTCGAAAGGAACAAGTAGTGCGTCCGACGGAAGCCACATAGCAGGTGCAGTTGTACTACACGTATTTCCCACATTTTCGGCGCATCCACATGCACATGTTTTGCATGGAATAACTGATTCATTGTAGTAAGCTGAAAACGAAACACAGCATTTACTTGATGTCCCCTTGGCTGTTGTTATGTTACACACAACCTGCCAACTCGCCATTACAGTTTTGTTTAACGGCAACCCTGTCGGATCAGGATTCGCAGTAGGGCTAACACGAATTGGAGGACCGCATTTATAGTCCGGATTAAGCGAACCACTAATCTTCCAGTTCTGCGGCGGAGAAAGCTCAGATCGGTTAAGCATCGGCGGCATCTTGTACACTTGCATCTGGAATCTCGAAACCGACTTACTAGGATCCATGGACTGCGGCAATATAGTACCGTTCCGACAACAAGACGGAATCTTCCCAAGATCAGTATCATTAAACTTAGTAGGAGGAAGATCAATAATCGTAGGCCTCCTCTGACAATTCAAAACAGTAGCAAAATCAAGATCCTTGTAGAATGTACCTTGCTTACCGAAAATACAATCAGAAGCATCGACAACGGACGGATAAGCACCTTTCATCGTAAGTATAAACTCGTCATTCATCCAATCCCAATTCAACCTCCAATTATCAAGCCTTCCAAGAGGATTATGGTTTGAAATAGCAACCTCGGCCCAATAATTCGAATCATAAGATCGAATCACATCATACATAATAGTAAGATCACCATCTTGACGAGGCAGAAACTTCTCATCAGTAGTGATGTTTGTTTTGAACTTCGGATCTCTTGTGCAACACACATTAGTCCCATTCATGTCTAAAAAGATAAACAACTCAAATAAGCACTTATAACATAAGCTATTTCTATAACAAAATTAATCAATTAAGCACTTAATTCAAATCGTAGATGTAATCCAAAATTTAACCTAAAAAAATAATTTCAAAAAGAAAGAAAAGAAAACTACCTTGAGCGGTGGCTTTGCCGCAGATGAATCCATCGTTTGCGAGGTTGATAGAAGACGGCAAAGGAACATTAGGCGGCGCCACTCCAAAGACGGTGCCAACGAGGTTGATCTGAGCCTGCATCTGAGTCAAGTCACCGGCAGTTTCAACAGCAGTCTTGAGATCGGTCATTGGATATCCAGCGAACAAACTACCATTCCCGACGGCGGCAGGGAGAGTGGTGCCGTCAGCGAGGACGGCACCGGAAGCAGAAACCAGAAACTCGTCGTGCTGAAATCCGACGAAGACCTTCCATGACTTAAGCTCATCGAGACCGTTGTTGAGCACGGTCAACGTCGATTCGAATCGATACGGTTGTTTCTTGGGGTTGGTGACGTTCGGCGGGAGGCGTACTCCGGTTCCGGCGGCGTAGGAGATGAGTATGCCGTTGCAGGTTTGAGCATCGGTAAACGACGTCGTTGAAAGTAAGATTGTTGCTAAAACGACGAAGGTGAAAATACAGTGGTAACTTCGTAGTTGCGAGATCATCGTTGTTGTTGTGTCTGTTAGGGATTCGTTTGCTTGAATTTCGAAATTTGAAAAATGAGAGATAAACTAAATAAATATATAGTTTCTTTATTTTACTTTTTTTAAAAATAAAAATAAATTTAATTAAAGTGAGAGAGGAAATGATTTATTTTTTTGTAAAAGGTAAATGAATAATGATTAAACGCGTTCAAGAAATGGAAAGGGTCGTCCAGCTTAGAAGAAGCTGTAATTTTGGAACGTGTTAAGCTTTTTTATTTATTTAAGCCGTGTGTGATTAATTGATTAATTCAGAGAACAGGGCATGTTTTGCTGGGGTTGCAATTGCGTGCCGTTCTATTTATAAAATCATTTTTAAAGATTATTATTTAAGTTGGTTTTATGTGTAAAGGACTTGAAAAAGCCTTTGTGTTTTTCTTTAATTACTATGATACTTTTTGGTTCTTTAACTTTTTTTGGTATTGAAACCGTCCTCAACAGCTCTATAAATCTGTGCTTGAAATTTGAAATGCTGGTGCCGTAGAGAGGAGGGAGCTTTTGAGATGTTGTTGACTTGCTTTAATGTCTTCTAATCGGTTACTAATGATGGCCCCAATGAACAAATTATTTTGCTTTGTACTATTGGGCTGTTGGGCCATAGTATCGGCCCAATTACGTTGGGGCAATATTGTATATTGGTTCAATCTTTCTGCCACCCTCCAAGTTAAACACGGCATCTTCACGAAATTTATGATTTTACCATAATAACCCTGAACTTTTTTATATTACCTTTCACAAAAATAATTGGACAATTTTGGATTTATTGAAAACCTTTTAAAAATTTTGGATTTTTCAAACGAACGACCGGTTATTTCGCGTTTGATGACAAGTATGGTTTTTTATTGCATTTTTAGGATTTTTTTCGGATATTTCGTAAATATTTTATGCATATTCTAAAATGTCCGATAAAAATGCATATTTTTTCAGATATTTTGAAAATATCTGATAAATATTCATACCTCTAATCGGATATTTTGAAATATCTGGGAAAAATGTATGAGTTCTTCCGATGATTTTGGAATGTGTGAAAAAAGCATATATTTTACCATATATTCTAAAATATTCGGTAAAAATGCATAGATCCAAACGAATATTTCAAAAAATACAGAATTGAAATATTGGGAAAATCGCGTAATTTGAAATATCCCGAAGGTCCATAATTTTCGGATATTGGGAAAAGTCTAGTAGGTTATACAATTTTTTTTTTGTAGTGAAGACCAAAGGCACAAATGGTTTGATTGCTAATAGACAACGTGATTTAGCAGCTGTTATGAGGGGTCAAGATAGGGGAGTTGGTGTGGAGGACTCGCGTCTCATGGTCAAGATAGGACAGTTCGACTATATGCAGTACATTCTAAGAGACCCTTTTGTGCCTGCTCCTCCCGCTATGACACGTAGAGTATATATGTTATGTTTGATGATTATCTTAATCATCTAGTATCAGAGGAGGCACGAAATATCATAGCTAAGAGCGATTGGAGCTACGTAGACAGTTACATTCAGTGGTTCTTCAAGTTATCACATTCGTATATGATACATGATGTTTCAGGAGATCCACCGAGGTTATATTATCAAGAGATACTAGAGGAGGAGCATGCTTGGGCATATTATGTTGTTAATGTCTTGCCTAGATGTTGTTATATCATAGAGATTGAACAGTCGAGTATTGATAGATGACTCTTTCTGGATGGCTCTGAGGCCAATGACGTTGTAGATGCCATGATGATGGAGGCAGTGTAGTATATGAGCCAACATATGAATAAGGGGTCTCGAGTCCGAGTCGTTCATGCCGAATAGTTTATAGTATTTGTATTCTAGATTTATTTTTGGTTGTATTTTATTTTGACACTTTTCGACTTCATTGTGTATTCTTGATTTATAACTTTATATATATCATTTTCTACATATAGGTTGTATAGTCCAATTCATCATAATATACTTTTACTATATCGTCAATTTCATTTGAGCATCACTAAAACAAACTTAAAGTTTATTGTCTGGTATGATTACGTAGATGCATCTTTAGATTATGTCTGGTGCGACTATTGAGAAACATCTTTGAAATAATTCATGTTAGAAAGAGTCATTTCACAGAGGAATGTATGGGATGTAAATTAAACTATTACGGAGATGCATATCCGAATTAGCTTATTCAAAACATATTGGGTGTGACCCAGTTCATCACCAACGATAATAAAAATTTAAATGGACAATTTTCAAACCATTGGTTATTCTAAAAGTAATATTTTCCTCTATTTCAAATTTCAATAAGATATTTTCTGGAAAACCTTATCCATTTTTTGTTAAAATTTTTCGAATATGCATATTTGTGACATAATAAAACATACAAAAATAGAATTTTGATGATGCAATATCCTCTACTTCCACTTGCTAACTATTAGAAAAAAAATTAAATTGAAGACTTTTAATGTACCATAGGTATTACTAGGACACCACGTGAAAATATAAAATTACTTCTATATTTCAGAGATACATCTCCAGACGCATCTTAAAATATAATCATTTGTTTTTTTAGTCAATCTTCATTTTTATGACTAAATTTATTCAGGAAATATATCTCCAAAAATACTCTAGAAATACATTTTGAAACTACTTGAAAAGAGCTTATAAAGATAATCAGTAATTGTAAACTTGCAACAATGACAAATCTTTATCCCAAGTTGAGAGAGATTAAAGAGATTGTCTTTAAGGAACATGTGCATTTTAACTGGATCTGAATTCACTGCAATTAGTTTGAGTGTCGGATCTTGCATTCAAATGCAATAAAGTAAAAGTGGTCCGGAGGGAGATATACTTAAAAAATATAATGACAAGCATATCTTTCAAAATACACTAAAATACATTAACTACATGAAATTGTGTTATTTATGACTATAGAGGAATAAAATCCATTTAAACAATGATATTATGGGCATCATGGTGTCTGACTACCGTGGCATAACTTTTAATCCACCAAATCTATCTGGGAAGTCTCATATTTTCAATTGTATATTCTCTAAACATAAACAAAAAATTGGGGTAAAGTAATGAAATATTCTAAAAATGTATTTTTGGATTACGAAATATATTTCTAAACTATTTTTTTACAAAATTAAGATGCAGTTCATTTATACATGTATTTAGTGTATTTTAATGCGTTTGAAAATACATATTCAAAATATAAAGGATATTTTCAAATTTTCATAAATTTTTTTCTACCCTATAAAATGCATTAAAAGATTCTCTAAATTTAAAGACAGGTCATAATGAGAATATAGGCTTGATTGAGCTACCCGGTCGTCCGTCCCGTCTTCATTGTCGGAGTTACATTTGTCTTGTTCCATAGGTTTCTTTGCAATTCCTTTCTTTATGAGAACAAAATCACATTTTCCATTGCAAAAAACTTAGTTGTAAGTTTGTTATATATATATATATATATATATATATATATATATATATATATATATATATATATATATATATATATATATATATATATATATATATATATATATATATATATATATATATATATGAGTTTTACAATGCTCCTAGTCAATTAGGTAGACCTTCAACATCTCAATTAAGAGAGGAAATAAAAGTAGTTGAGAATATAAGACTTAGCGAAAACAAAATTTCTCATGGTATATATCAAAAATCAAATCCTCCTAGAGTAGAATCACTTACTCCCTCAGATATGGACTTCCCGTTATAATGTTAGATTATTCCCCAAGTAGTAATCTAAGAAACCTTGTCAATAACGAGTTTCAGCATGAAAGATACACTCAATTTAGAAAATGGTTTTTTAAAACTTTTTCTGCTCCAGTGTTAGCAAGCTTTAAGGATGGGTACTATAGTCAGATGTTTATGAACTAAGATTTCATTCCCATTGTCAAATAGTTCATTAGTTACTTTATAGGTAAAAAAAAGAAGAGTTAGTTTTTATAAAACAAGATAAACTTTTAGTCCTTCAAAAACCTTGGGCGAATATCAAAGGAGAAAAAATGGAATCTCCTTTTCCCTCAGAGCAAACCATAAGTTTGGGTCCTCATATTGAGGCTACACCTTATCTTACTCTCCAATTACAAAGAGTTGAACAAAATTAGGTTACTCTTAAAGAGTTAAATTTCATAATTAAACCCAATAATTATACTAATGCCTACCTTGTTTGTCTAGGAGAACAATTTATTTCTCTAGAAAAATAACTCTTATTCATAAAAGACCTTTTAGACAAACAAATAGCTCGTTAAAAGATTATTATTGACCATAAGCCTAAATTTCAGGAACAAGCCTCTACCTCTAATATTTTAGATGTTCCTATAATTCAACCTCATATTCCTATAGAAGGATTTAAAATGGAAACCAACGGAGATGAGTTTGTCTGTATTCTTGAGAAAAGCTTAAATATTTACATTTAACAGTTATGTCTAATCAAGACTCTTCTAATGAAGAAGACATTAATGATTTAGCAAATATGTTTGCTGAGTTAGACATTAGTAATCAAAATACTAATGAGATAAACCATATTTATAACTCTAAACCTTTGGAGAAATACTATTATAAGCGCCCCTCTCCTCACGATTTACTTTTTGAGGAACCTGAACCCTTCCAAAATTCGTATTCTGGAAAAGGCATTTACGAATGGAATATTGATGGATTAAATGACAAATAAATCCTTGATGCGATACATAGAATGATTATGTATTATACTGTTTGTAAACAACACAGAAATTCTGACAAAGATATTGCCTCCTTTATATCAATTGGATTTGTTGGTCAATTAAGAGACTGGTGGGATCATTATCTCACTGATAGTCAGAAAAAAGATATTCTTAACCATAAAAAAATAGTTAAGTCCGAAGCTCCTAGAATCAGAACAAGTGGTATTGCCACCACAGGTGAAGAAGATGCGGTTTATACATTGTGTCTCTCTATCCTTCAACATTTTGTTGGAACCAATATCC